CCGCCTCCCCCTTCTCCACCTTCTCGGCCGACGCCTGCAGCCGCTCCTTCTTCTCCGCCTTGGACTCGGGCCGGTACTTGTGCAGCAGCTTGAAGAGGTTGGTCTGGACGTTCTTGTCGAGCTTGTTGGTGAACTGGTTGATCGACGGCGGCACCTTGAGCCGCTGGTACAGCACCTTGCGCTGCCGCTGGATCCGCACGTACTTTGGCCACCGCACGTACCGCGTGAGGTTGCGCTTGGGAAGAATGTCCTGCCCGATGCCGAAGTGCTTCGGCTTGGCCTCCCAGACGGGGCCGGTGGGCTCCGGCTTCTTGGACTTGGGCTCGGCGTACGGCGTCGGCGGCGGCGCCTTCTTGGACTTCGCTGCCTTGGGCATGACTGTCGTCTAGCACACGCGCCGGCACGCGCCCCCGAGTGTTTTTTTTTTGAGCTTAGCCTTCGATGTTATGAAAACACGCAAGGCGGACATGGCATATCGCTCTCGGGCTCACAGACATCCCTCACACCCGCCGCCCCCGCGCGCGCCCCACCCCGGCCGGGAGAAAGGGGAGTGACAGTTTGGGATGGCAACAGCCCGAGTATGTTGAGTCCTGGCTCAACAACGCAGAGAACAAGAGGGGGTGGTCCGGCTCACAAGTCCGGCTCACGCGCCTCGAGCTGACCCTCTACCGCACTGATCACTTCCGCCCCCTCGCTCCCAACCCATCCACCCCGCCCCGGGCCGCGCCGCGCGATCTCGGGCGATCTCGCGCTATCTCGGGCGATCTCGGGGCCGCGCCGCGCTATCTCGGGCGATCTCGCGCTATCTCGGGCGATCTCGGGGCCGCGCCGCGCTATCTCGGGCGATCTCGGAGCGTCGCTCGCGCGGCGTCACACCTGCTCAAAAAGGAAGGAGGTTGGAGGCAGGAGGTCACGCCCCATCCAGAGCGCCGTCGTCGCCGGGTTTTTGGCCCCCGGGTCGTCGCCCGACGGTTGCTGCGCGGGGCAGCAGACCATCGGACGGCGCGACGACGCCCCGTCCGGCACGCTCCCCCTCCACCCGGCTATTGCCGCACGAGCGCCCTCAGCGGCGGAATTTTTCCCTCGCGCTTCCTTGGGCCCCCGGCAACGCCGACGGACTTCCCGTCCCCCCACCTGCGCCGCAATCACCGCCGTGATTGTCGGCGCCGCGCCCCTTGGCGCCCGTGCATGTCCCGCGTGCCCGCCCGCCAAGGCTGGTGCCAAGGCCAACTCAACTGCCAAGGCTGGTGCCAGGGCCAAATCAACTGCCTGGCTGGTGCCAAGGCTCAAAGGCTCTCCTCTCTCTCTCTCCTCCCTCTCTCCCTCCCTCCCTCCCTCCCTCTCACCCCCCACCTCTTCTCTCCTCTCCCCCTCCTCCTCTCTCCTCTCTCCTCCTCTCTCCTCTCCTCTAGGGTCCTCTTCTCATCCTCTCCCCTCTCCTCCTCTTCTCTAAGGGCCCCTCTCCCCCAGCAGCTCCTCG